AACCACACACACACACACACACACACACACACACACACACACACACACACACACTAAATAAATCGTATCTCTCATCTACACATACCATATACACACAGGTTAATTGAGATGCGCAGAGACTAAACAATTACTGAGGAGAAAACAATATAATCTCTCAACTCTTAATTATTAACCAAACTGATGAAGCAAGTGAAAGAATAATGGATGGAAAGATAGTTTTCACACTGGTAATTCCTGTAACACTTTATAAGTTCACATGTGTATCTAATAATAAACAAATGTAACTGTTAATAAAAAGGCTCAGGTCAGAGACAGGATTTAAACTCCACAAATGTATTCCTCTTGAATTTAAAGAGACCATATTATACTAACAATATTTTGGTAATATGAGAAACAGACAAATTGTAATTAGCTTTTAGAACAACAGAAATCAATGGGTGGTCTTCACTGAAACATGAAAACATATGTTACAAATTTACGGTTAGCCATGTGTGTTAATGCTGCACTTTACACTCAAGTTAACATGCAGGAACGTGTTCCCAGATAACATGCATTACCACTGCATAATATGTAGGTCAGCAAAAGAGACAGAAAGAGAGAGAGAATGCTCTCAGAAAAGGGTGGAGGACAAATGGCCACTAATATACACTAAATTTTTTGCAGCTACAAAAAAAAAAAAAACTGTGCTATTTTTGTGTGAACACAAAGTGTGTGTTTTAATGCCATGTAAGGGAAAAAAAGTTAAAATCACACTGGTAATTTCAACAACAGCAAAAAATAAAATACATAAAAATAAAATAAATGAATAAATACATTAAAAATACAATAAAAAGCTACAACTTTAATAATACTATCATTTTATTCTCATTTTCACTTTGACATTGATCTTTAATTGCTATGATATATACGTACGTACGTACGCACGCACGCACGCACGCACACACACAGCACTTGAACACTATCATAGATACACATTTTTGAAGCTAGTAAGGATATTATGATGATGACAAGGAGATTACTAGACATACTTTCACTGATTTGGTTTCTACCTTAAAAAAAATCAAAAGCAATCTAGCTCTGATAAGGTGGGAGGGTTTGTTTAGTAAAATATAGATACAGAGGGTCTCCTTTTTGTGCGTGGAGAAGTCTGAAAGGCCATTGTGGCTGCCTTTATAGAATGACTTTTAAAGACTTGCTGTAGGAGACAACTCTGCCACCCACTGTCATGTCATGCCACTACAGTTTGAGTATTTGGGCGAGAAAAAAAACAGAGAGGGACAGAGAGAGAAAGATACTGGGAGTGTGTGTCTGAGGATGTCAGAGCAGATAAAGGTCATCGATATGAAGTGTTGAAGTGCCACAGATAACCTGCATTGTAAGAGCTTATGTGCCACTTGTGGAGGCATTCTCATGCTAAGGCCTGCTCTGGGAAGAAAACTTAGGAGAAGAGGAGCTTCAGTAAAGGGAAAAGGGAGCAGCCACACTCTAGTTCTAGATCTGTTCTCAATATGTAAATATCTGTATGAATAAAAAGATAGAAGAAAGAAAGCACTGAAAATGCAGTAATGGTCTGCAAAATATTTAAAAAGGTTCTTTTGGAGAGCATCATTAATTGCAATGGACCATTTTCCACAGTTATTAACATCATAAATTTAGCAAAAATGTTTGTTTTTTTATATATATTTTCAATTTAAAAAAATGTAATGTACAGAAAATAGTTTCCAATACAGCTGTTGAGGAATTGATCACATCTGAAGACGCTCCTCCTGAAACTTTCTTTTAGAATTGTTCAAATCAGTAGCATGTGGCATATTTGTTTTATATAAGGAGACAAACTATTTACTTAGTATTTTTGTTTATACATTTTCAATCAAACATCAACCAACTGCAGCAACCCACAGTGAGTCATGTAGAATTCATTGGGCTTAAGGGAGGCAAAAGAGACTCCTTTTTTAACGGCTGATATGGCCTTTAGACACTTAAAAACAAACACAAAAACAAAAATCGTCCTGTGGATTATTTTCTCATCCAAAAATAGTTTGAGGAGGCACTGCCTCCTCTGAGAAAACACCACAGCTTCAGGGTCCTCTAAGCACTTCTGCTAGTCACATTTCCATTTAGCACTAGCTGTCAGTCTGGGAGGACTGGCACTGCCCGCAGGAAACACACTCCTTCACTCACCTCTGGAGCGATGTAGTCTGGTGTTCCACAAAATGTACGGGTGGTCACACCCTCCACAATGTTCTCCTTGCACATACCGAAGTCTGCAATCTTAATATGACCCTCTGCATCCAGCATGACATTATCTAATTTCAGATCCCTGAAAGTGATAAAATAACATTGCAGTACATTAAAACAGACAGGGTGATACTGAAAATGGGAGGATGGGGTTACAGAAAAAAAGATGTTTGTTTTCCTGTTTAAATATTTTTATATAAAAATATATCTAAACAAAACTCATCTTGTTCTTTTTTTTCCCCACACATAAGCACAACAAAAATGTAGTTAATTTTAATTCATGTAAAAGTAAGTGCAGTGTTTTTCTTTTTTTGCCTGAAACAACGACTGTGTCTCTCATCGCTGCTGACGTCAGTTCATCTATTTGCTCTATTTCCCTAGGCCAATTTAGCTGCTCAAAGACAAACAAGCCAAATAACCAGGTTTAGCTCCTAAAGAGAGACAGAATTAAGTGAATTCCTGTTTGAAGGTTGCTAAATAGTGATTTGGTATTTTATTAGTCATTTGAGTCAATATTTAGCACATTTCACAAATACGTTACCATGATATTTTTAATGCATTATAGCCACAAATTACCTTTATAACTGTATCTAAGAAACTAAAATAACTCATGACATTAAGTTTATTGCAGTAAAAATATGTTATTGCCAATTATTACCTAACCACATTGTTCACTTTCCTTTAAATCATTACAGCATTTTCCTTAAAATGTGACACTCAAGAAATAACACTATTTGGACTCTTTAGTGGAAAGACAAGTAATTGTAAAAATTTATATAAAATACAATTAAACTACAAATATAAAAAGCAACATTTGGTCTCAAACTAACCATCCTTTCTGTTACTCAGAATGGCATAGTTTTTGTTTATTTATTTTTTAAATTTTATTTATTGCTTTAATGCTATTAATTATTGTTATTAGATTTTAGGATTATACATTTTGTCTGTTATATTTTTACTAGATTTATTTGATATTTACTGCTTAAAAAATTCACAAATCACACAAAATCAGGGCTTTACACACTCCCAAATGTGTAAAGCCCTGTTATTAATTATTGTTATTAGATTTTAGGATTATACATTTTGTCTGTTATATTTTTACAAGATTTATTTGATATTTACTGCTTAATAAAATCACAAACCACACAAAATCAGGGCTTTACACACTTCCAAATGTACTGAACATAAAACAGCTCACATTAAATTTCAGGCCCTTCTTTGTACCATAGTGCCATAAGTGCCAATTATTGACTTCTAAATGACTGTAGTCAATCTGCTGATTACAGCCAATTAGCTTACAACTGTTGACAGAAAGGTCTGAATGTGTAGTCATGTGTGTTCACCTGTATATGACTCCTTTCTTGTGCAAGAAAAAAAGTCCAACAGCAATCTCTGCAGCGTAGAACCTGCAACAAGCAGATTATTTTACATAAATTTACCTTAATCTACAAACATACATAAAGTGATGTATGCTTTAAGGCTCAACCCCAGAAATACATACTGTAGACACACATATAAACACAATGAGAGAGTGGCTTACACTGCTTGTGGCTCCTTAAATTTGCCCACTTGCTGGATGTGGTACATCAGATCACCACCATTAACATACTCCATCACGAAATACAGACGATCCTATGAAAAAAAACAACTACATATATGAAACTGTTTAGACAAACTTTAATGCTGGCCTTGTCTGAAAGGCTTTGTCTATATGATTCTATATGAATTTCCTACTTCATATTGCAATCATTTTATGAATGGTAAGTAAAAAAAAATGCAATTCTGTTGTTTAATAATAGATTTTAATACACTAGACATCACTCGCTTTCCGACTTTGTAAATGGCTACTGAAAAAAAAAGAACAAGAACAAAAACAAAAACTGTGCAACTAGCATTGACGTAACCTCATTAATCTCATGTCTAGAGATTTATTTTTCTTGACCAACACATTCGTTGGGGTAGCATTACTGTTAACTCTTATAAACTCTGATAAACTTATCATTTGGTGGATTATGATAAGCTCTTATGGTTGGATGTGGATGCAAAGCATCTCTAGAGTAGGTCTGCTCATGGGTGTGTCTCTATCTTTGTCATAAAAACAGTGGTACTGTCATCTCACCATCAGAGGTCACTATTGCCTAAGTAGTTTTTATTTGCCTTCTTTTGGACTGTTACTTAGGGATTGTGATTTTGTGCTTTTCACTTGTTGATTATGGTATTGGTGTCTTTATTAAAATTTTCTGTAAATGGATCCCCCTCATTTACCTGTCAATTTACATGCTCTGTGATACACGCTTTTCAGATTTGAATTAAATGTGACCATTACAATTTAATAAAACTATATCTTTATTGTAACAATGTGTGATTGTACTATATTTTCTAAAGTCCATACAGGTATGTTTCAAACAAAAAATACATACTAAACATAAATATTTCAACGTTAAATTGAGAATGCCACAAAAATATGTTTTTTTTAATGCATTGTAATGCTGATTTTATCAGTATTTATGGAAACCATTTTAAATACGAGAAAAAAAACTGACTTCTAAAAACAACTCCAACTGTATGTAACTGCCCTTTTTATTTTTAATTTACTGTATGCTGCTTTGCTGTATTTGCTCCCTTTATGTCTGTATATATGTTTACATATTTGAATCAATGCAAACACATTTGGCTGGGGAAGGCCCCCACAAAAATGCTGCAAAGCCAAGAAAAGGTGGTGGTGTCCCCCCCACATGATTGTAAAGCACTTTGGGTGTACAGCAATACACACAATACACAATAAAGCGCTATATAAATGCCTCATTCATTCATTCATTCATTCAAGAAGAGAGTTTCAGTATGGTAATTTTTTATTATTATGTTTTTTTCAATTTGCAATTACAATGGCCCTACTTTTTGCAAATTAAAGTCTATTTCAGTTGCCAAAGCACATAAACAAAAATTCAGTCCTATTCAGTCCTTCTAAGGGACTCTTTTGATTTGCTGAAAGGCAGATGTTCGGATTGCGAGTGCCATTATTGCCTAGAGGGAATACTATTTAGCCCACAGCCATAGTGACTGGTTAACAGAGGCTTCTGTTTGTTGTCAAAGTTGCCAGTTATGTGTGGCCGGCTACATTTTTTTACTTGCTGTCTACCAAAATAATTATTAAATTTGTGTTCAAGATGTTTATTTCCCCAGCCGAGGATTTTTAATTTCAAATAATGGTTGACAAGTCCCTGTATATTGTGAAATATTGGCCTGCCAGTCTGTCTATTTTTAGAATATATTTGATAGATAAAGATCTTGCACAAACAGTAGAGCATCATGGGTTTGATTCCCAGGGAATGTAATATAAATCACTTTGAATAACAGTGTCTACCAAATACATGAATGTTAATTCAAGGAGAGAGTTCCTCACCACAGTCTGAAAGCAGGAGTGAAGCTGGGTGAGGAATGGCGGTTTGTCCTGCTGAGCCAGAACCCGCTTCTCCACCATGGTGCATTCAACATCATCATCCTGGATGACCACATCCTTCTTAAGGATCTTTATAGCAAATAGTTCACCAGTAGACTTCATCTCAGCCAGCATCACCTGATTATGGAAAATTGCAAAAGCTCAAACTGCCAGTGAGAGCCTTTAGCAAACCTAAAATATCATTACAATTTCACTGAGAAAGAAAAAAACATTATTTCCTTTTTATACATAAGTTATTTTGAAAACACATCTTTATTTTTAATTATATTTAATTTTTTTATTCTACCAGGTTGGCCCCATTTTTAAGAAAAAAAAAAAAAACAGGCCGAGTGTCACGATCACCAGCTGCGGTGAGCATGATTTCACCAAGTACAACATGTTCCTGGATCAACATCCTTGTTGATCCTGGAACATCATTCCAATCAACCAATCAGAATTGAGAGATAACTTTTCAGGAAATGTCAGTTTTAGGCTTACAATCAGGATTAGGTGCTTCTACACCCTTGTTAATCAGCTATCATTTCCCTCTGATTTTAGGAATAAATTATGGGTAAGGTTAGGTTTAGGGGTAGAGATTGGGTTAAGTCTGTATTTTTGGACAGTAATGTTGATCCAGGATCAACAAAAGATGTTGATCCAGGAACATGTCTTATTTGGCAAAATCACGGTGACCCACCAGCTGGAGAGCGCTTGATGGCCAACAGAGGGCACTCCATCCCAGATTTTAGCCACTCTATCAAGGACTTCATTCCCCGTAATCCTCTGCCCAGTCTCATTAGCACTCATTGGCCTGTCCCAAATCGCACTTCTGTCACGAAAGTCTGAGTCCACACTTTTGTGACGTAATGCTGCTTTGACTGTCGGGTAGAAGTCTGCTGCGAAGCTTGCCTCAGTGCGGGCTCGGCAGAAGTGTGCATCGAGGGTGAACGGCGGCCACAAAGGGGGCACTCGTGAGCAATCTTCTGAAAGCTAAAATGATGAATGGGACACCCTACGCGGTCTCGTGGACTTAACGGACACACGCACGCGGCGGTCATTGTAAGTCTGCAAGACCGCAAGTGCATATGAAGTGTGCCATTTGGGACAGGGCCATTGTTTGCAACAGTGTCTCATTAGTTCTTGCACCAGAGCCAGTTCACAAGATGGCTGCCACGTCAGAGCCTTGTCTTGTCATGACTACCAATCCAGAACCTCTCCACAACATGGCTGCCACGCCAGAGCCTCTCTACAAAATGGCCGTCATTCCAGAGCCTCGACCCATCATGGCCACCACTCTATAGCCTCCAGTCCCCAGCCGTCATGGCCACCACGCCAGTGTCTCCAGCCATCATGGATATCATGCCAGATTATTCAGCTGTCATGGATGCCACGCCAGTGTTCCTGGCCTTCATGAACGTTGCACTTGAAGCTAGTAAGGCAGTGCCCAGGCGGTCGAGACTGATGTCCAGTGTGGCGGACCCACCACTGATGTCGGTACAAGCAGCTGGCAGCTTGGTGGCCTCTCAGTCTGCCCTGTCACGGCCAAAGAGGCCATCTTTGAACTCACAATCTGCCCTGACACGGCTAAGGAGGCTGTCTCTGTTAATCTCTCTGTGCTCTCTATTGCAGTCCCGCCTGATCCACCTTGGTGGTCTCCTGCCTTGTCTGCTCCACTTTGGAAAAAGTCTGCTCAACCTGAGCCATCTCGGCTCTGCCTGCTCCACCCTGGTGGTCTTCTGCTCTGCCTGCTCCGCCCTGGAGGTCTCCGGCTCTGTTCTGGCCTCCAGCCCCGCCCTGGCTACCTGTCCAGCCTGCACCACCTTGGTTTCCTGCTCTGCTCTTCTCTGGGTTACTCTGTTGCCTCAGCCCGTAACTTTGTCGTTGTTTTGGATTCTCTGATGACTTTCGCCTGTTTCTGGATTATGCCTTTGGATTCCCCTTCAATAAATACTGCACTTGGATCCACAGCCTTTGTGTCTCCGTGCAGCTTATGACACCAAGAAAGGCAGCACCCAAAATCACACAGTATAAAATTTCAACATATATACTGTAAAATAACAATAAAAAAAGATAATAATAATGTAACAATGTTCGTAGATCGGGAAGAAGGAGGCGGGAACCGGCGAACATTTAAATATAAAACTTTAATAAACAAATAAACAAACCCAAAACGAAAGTAAAAGCGGCAGCCCCTCACGGCCGGGGGGGAGCCGATCACAGCGGCTGCAACGTACCTGGGGGTAACGACAGACGAGGCGAGAGAAAAGGAGATGGAAGGATGAGGAGAGACAGAGACGAGAGAGGGGAGAGAGGAAAAGAAAAAAAAAATCTCGGTCCGGTTCCCAGACACACTGGCGCCTGGTCCTCAACCAGCTGAGAGGCTCTCACTCGCGGTGCCATGCGATGGTACTGAACATCCTTTGGTGGATGGCCAGACGCTCATCCGCCACCTGGCGGACGGCGATGGCTCCTCCGGTTGAGGGCAGTCGGCAGCGAGTTCCCCGTTCCCTGCTCCTCCCCAATCATGGCGGACGGCAGCAGGCTCCGGCTTCCTGGCGAACGGCGCCAACCCCTCCGCTCCTACTCAGACGGCAGCCACCCCTCCACAACCCAGGAGTGCAGCAGCGAGCCCTCTGTCCTACCTTGTCTTCCATCACTCCAGCACCACCACCTCGGGCAGCCACTGACGGCCTCCACTCCTTCCGGCAGCCACTGCCGACCTCCTCCGTAGATCGGGAAGAAGGAGGCAGGAACCGGCGAACATTTAAATATAAAACTTTAATAAACAAATAAACAAACCCAAAACGAAAGTAAAAGCGGCAGCCCCTCATGGACAACTGCCTTATTATAAAAACATAATAAGACAACAACATAAAATCCAGGCCTGGTCCTCTCTCATCCTTCACTGTCGTTACTCCTCCTTTTATCCTTCCGGAGCTCCTCCGTGGGACTCGAGACCGGTGAGTTTACTCCACCGGCCTCACTCCATTCCCACAGCTCTCAGCCCCGCCCCACTCGTTACATATAAATACAGGTATACGGTTAATACGGTTAAATGTATGGGTAAAGAAGCAATCATTTACAACAATTATCATCAAAAGATTCAAATTCTGTTGATTTAATAATCATTTTAAATTAAGAGTGTCTTTTAAGATTATGAAGAGAATGCAAATTGTTCCTAAAATTAAAATTAAAAAATTCAGAGGAAAATTAAACTGAACGTTAGGAAAAGTCATAAGCATAATATCCTGGGACTGTAGTCCATATGTATTAACCATATGCACATAGTCCATACGCACTCCATATGAAAGGGAGGGCCAATCATTAAATTGTGAGTAAAGGCTGGTACGCTATTATTAATTCACCTAATAATGGGGAAGAGATTGTAAACTCACCTTTCCAAAACTGCCTTTTCCCAACACTGCCAAGAAATTAAAGTCTGTGAGTTTGACTCTGTCCATACTGCTTGAGGGTAAAGTGGACCCACTATCATCCAAAGGGGTGGTGGCTCTTTTGGATGGACCCAATTTGGCTTTCTGCACACAGACATACAATAGCTGTAAAACAAGCCAGAACTACAGGCAGGCTTTTCCCATGATGCACTTGGAATCCCATATGCAATTAAAATGGAGCTGGAACATGTTTTCTGTCATGTGAATAGACCTCAGTCTGGGTAAATTCAATATAATTGTTTTTGGAAAATGAATATGAGGCTGTGACAGCGATAAATGCACAGTCCATTCAACGTGTTATACAGTCTTTATTATATTAAGTCTAAATTTTACATAATGTTCATCAAAGTTGTCCACCAATATTTTAATATTGCGTCAGCTCAACAACTGACAGCAAAGTAGAAAAAAACAAAACAAAAAAACCTTGAACAGACTTTGCTAACATTTTGCGAAAAAATATTGTATCTACGCTGACTAAGGTCCATTAGAGATGCAGCCCAATAAAGCCTAATCCACTCTCAGCGTCATCTGCATTTCCTACCAATGTCCTATAACACAATCCATACATAACAAGGCTCATTCTAAATCTGCCTTCTTGATGAATTCTGGGTAGTGCCCATGCAGTTTCTCAAGGCAGTTGAAATTCTTTCCATCACAGCATGCATATAAGTCAGTCAGCGGACCAAGATTCTCTGCCAAGCTAGACTGGATGGCCTTGAGCTCAAACTACAACAGCAGGGCACAATTCATTTTTCATTAAAGAATATCTTATTTTGAGTAATCTACCTTCCTACTAAATGTAAGGAGGCAATAATATATTGGGACAATTTTCAAAAGTTCTTTTTGCACATTGTGAGATTTTTATTTAAAAAAAATTTAAATTAAGATTTTTATTTTTCGGTTTAGGGCATAGCTTGGGTTTATAGGTAGGTCATCCAAACAAGAAGCTCTACAAGTCAGAGTTTGATTGTAATGAAGTTTTTGCCATAATAGCAACATGTCCAATGAGATGGTAAATATGGAAAATATCTGTCAAGCAAGTTTGTAACGGCTACAGAGAATCCCTTGGAACTCTGGAACAGCTATAGAATGACAGTGAGGAGAAACACCAGAGCAAAGACTGAAGGATTCTATCAGGAATCTCTGAAGTGAAGAACCTTCTTTAGCCTTCTGTGTTGTTAAACAGCTTTTGAGCCCTTCAAGTTGGTGGTTAGGAATTAAAGAATACAAAAGTCAGCGCACCAGGTGCCTTGGAGTGGAATGACATGCTTAGGTGATGCATAGAAGCACTTTAAGATTATGCAGTGGTGGAAAACATATTACATGGTGTACAGTGGGACAGACCAGGTGAGTCAGACCTCAGTCTGTTAGGCAGAGCCATCAGAGCCAGAGGCACAAAGTGGTGATACTCATGACAATGCAAGTTTTATGATGCAGTGGATTTTACCTAAGATTGGATCAAGATGGTATGAAAGTCGCTGCTCTGAGGGGGAAGGTGCTTATTAAAGGGGTCATAAACTGAGAAATCAAAACTCCCTTGATCGTTTGATATATAAGAGGCCATTTTACTATAAAAACATCCTGTAAGTTTCAGAACTCAAAACTTTCTTTTTATTCTAAAAACAGCTTATATAATGAAGCCAATCTGCCAAAACGACAGGTTGTGGAATGTGCCACTTTATGATGTAATAATGTGGCTAAATACTGCCTCTGCAGAAGAAGATCAAAGCCTGCTTCTACATCACTGCCTCTTTAGCCCCGCCTACCTATTCACACCTATTACCTATCACACCTATTCTGTAAATAACGAGAGAGGCAAACACAGAAATCAAATGATAAATATGACTCCGAAGACAACAAGATGCTGTGTAGGGTTGGGTATCGATTGTTTTTTTTACGATACCGGTGCCAAATCGATACTTTTAAAATGGTACCAGTGCCTGAACCGATACTTTAAAAAAAAAGAGCCACAAAAAACAAACAAACAATGGATAACATTAAAGAACATCTAGTCTAATGTTTCTACTGTATCTCTGTCAATCACTCTGACTGTCACGGTGGGTGTGGAGAGATGAAGCGAGGTCTCAAGTGCAGGATGAATGATTCTTTCTTTTAATAATAAAATTAAACAAAACCAAACTAAAACAACCCCGAGGGGGAAAAACAGACAGGCAGGCTAGGAACTGCACTACATGCAGACATAACACACACAATGAAAAAATGATGGATCAGCACAGGATTACAGACACCAGGGGAATATATAGGAAACCAAATGAGGAGGCTAGCGAGGGAGACACAGGTGGAGCAACTTAAACAATAATGAGGTAACAAGATGGGCGGGGCAAGACAATAGACAGGAGAGAGCACATGGCACCAAACAAACACAACACAAGCCATGTGCTCACAGAAAACAGTGTCCTCTGGTGGTCATCCTGGGCACACCCGCTGAAGACTGTGACACTGACATTTAGTTAAAATTAGTGAATTGACTGAGTGCTGTCTGTCACTGTCTTTAATCAGTTCTGTGAATGACTGTATGGTATGCCACATGCACTGTAATATGTTTTATATTAAATATTACATTTTCAAATGAAAATAGCAACATGATCATTTTATCAAAGTCAAAAGCCAAAAGTCAAAATTGAAATTGCATTAATCTCAGACCCTTGGTGCATACAGATAACACTAACAATAGAACGTAAAAATACAGATAAATACAGATTAAATACATATAAAATACAACGATACAAATAAGGACTTGTAAAAAAAGATAAATAAAGCAGCACAAGGCACATGGCAGATAGAGTGCAAACCAGTGAAATAAACAAACAGTGCAGATATAATGATTGTAGTGCAAAAGAGCTTATTCAGTCTGATTAAAGTGACAAAAAGTGAAAAGATTTTCAAGTGAAAAGTGAAAAGCTCAAGAGCAGTTCTTTATTTAAACTGTCAGCAGATGTAGTTGAATGAGGTCAGTTCAATGTTGAATGAGATAGTGAGCAGACTAATGCAGCACAAAATGACTGGTGCAGGTCAGTGTGTTAGTGGGAGGGGGGAGTGGAAGGACCTGGGGATGTGGGAGCTGGGTGGGGGTCTGAGGGTCAGAGTTCAGTGGTGCATGGG